TCTACTATCACTATAAACTGATTCGTGCGCAATTCACTGTCCCTGCGCCCACCCTGCTGTGGAGCATGCGTTGCACCTCGCCGAAAACGAAGATCGAATCGTCGGCCACGACAAAAGGATGAGAAAACAGAAAATTGTCGGCTTAGTTGTTGATAAAAAAAGAGCAAATAAGTGACGGTCAACAATCCCAACCAGGGTGAGGGAGACTGTTCTGCTTGTAGCTCATCGTACCGCACTTGACAATGGAAACTTTCGCGGAGTTTGGACTTCTGCCGTACTCTTCACAGTCATTAGGTACGATTTTAAGATTTGTGAAGTTTACCGGTTGTGTGAACGTGGAAAGCTATTGCGAAAACGACATCTGACTGCTCCCCTTCTTTGGACGTTCCTGGTGATGTTGAAGAGTAGCTCCTGAGCTTGGAAGGACTGCACGTTTAACAGAATGGGCATTTTCACTGTTATAGCCCACAACACAGTCGAAATATCTGAATGTTCAGGTTAGCTTTCTCTTAGATTGTGAGTGAACGGGATCCATGGAAATGCAGTTTTTGAAAACATACTGCTTTCGGTTTTACGAAGTACTTGGATATATGCCTTTTTTAAATGTCCGAAGGATAATGCCCTCTTTTTCTAATGACTTACCGATCAGTTTTCTGCCAAATGTCCGCAAAATCACGAGAGTTAGTTTGTTTTTTTGCTTCATTTTCTCACACTGTACGCGTGCGTACTTGCAAAGTGACGGAAGAGAAGGACGTTGGTCTTCCAAAATACTGCTAATACACTAGTTTCGGCTGCTGAATGTTCCACATTATCCTTTTCTGACTATGGTGCCGGAACTTTCAAAGTTATCAGAGTAGCGGAGAACGCTTAGCAATTATCAGAGCAATATCGCACAGCATCCTCGATAAAGACAATACTTACCTCATTACAAATAAAGGGAACGCTTCGCCGAGCCGACTGCAGACAACTTCCGCTTTACTTTGAAACTCCAATCCAGAGACCCTACTGGCAGCCCCGGAATACCAATCAATCAGCATCTTAGGAGATTTGGATGACCAAAGTCTGGAATCCAACCACCTTCTTCGTCCTGACTTCAGTCGGATTAAAGACATCTAGGACTGTCCGAGTTGCAAAATAGGAAAACTTACCACACCTACTTTGGCAGTTCCTGCCGAACCCTCCCAAGTGGCGTAGAGACAGCTGGCCGCGAGGTTAGTTAAAGTAGGCCGTTGAAGTGCAATATGATAATCGATTTCCATGTGCAAGAAGCAATTTCCGTTGGACGGCCAATCGATAGGATTTGCAGTGGCGAACCGTCATGTCGGAGAGAGATATTTTTGCACATTTTTAGAAAAAATTAGGCCGGAGTATATTTATTTATTCTCCCTACACTACGTTCCACGCAATCAGAAATCTTCAGGGGCGTTTTTGTACTACGTTTAGAAGAGGAAGAACGCTAGTATAATAATACTAAGCTGGCTTAATCGTGCTATCATAAATTCCAGAGCAAAGAGAACAAAAAGGCACGGTTTGTTATGGAAATTTACCTGGCAAAGGTAATACAGGTACTGCAGAACGGGCGCTTTGCGCAGGAGGAGGCCGTGATTGATGGAGTTTGCGAGAAGAAAGGCTGTGATGAGATGACTGGCACTGCCTGCTTCGCCGCAATGCGGTCGCAGAGCGAAGGTATGCATGCCGCGATGGCTGAAACGAGACCATCGTCAAATAAAGTCAGAGACCCGAGGGAGGGGCAGCGCAGAGCAGGGTAGTGCAGCAGGCAATTGCAAAATATTTCAGTTAGGACACCGTTGATGGTATTTTCTGAGATATGCATGATATCCTGCCTTTAGCACACAAAAAGGGGAAAGAACTCCTTCTTACTGAGGGGAGCAGCGCATACTTCAGATAGGAAATTGCAGCTGAATGGTCATAGTTCGTCGAGGGGAGTGCTGACACCAACTTCTTCGGCAATGTGAGCAACATCAGCCTCGACCCCTAGATTCGGACTTCTATCATGTTCTAATGATTAGAAAGGGGGTTTAGCAGTAAATCTCCATCTACGTGTGCTACAACCCAGCTAGCATCTCCCAAATGATTGAAACAGACTAAACTCTGACATGAGGGGGGAGCACACCTGGCAACCCTCACATGCTTTCACTATTCGGTCGAAGCGATAGATGGTCAGAATGCAACGACCACGTTATACGGCCAGGAATTCGATGCGACTTTCGATCCACCAGAACGCTTAATTTTATTCCGGTACCTCATACTTTCCACAGAATCAAGGTAAACTATATGTATACAGACACCAGAGGGAACATAGAGAGCAAGTAATGTAAAGACAACCGTGCGCAGATAGTAATCATATACTGCGACTAAATTTCTGAAAAATGGACAAGTTTATATAAAATCAGGCTGTGCAAAAAATCCTGCATATCAGAAGGTCACCAAGCTGAAGGCGAACTAGCAAGTTCTTCATCATATTTACTTGCAGTAACACTGGAAGAGCTTTGAATTACTTACACCCATTATCCCATTGGAAACTGGATACGTACGTTGAACAACATGAGCAGTGACTACTTCTATATGACCCACTCCAGTTCATGCCTAAGTCAGATAGGATCAAAAGTTCAGGAGGGGGAAGAGTTGCCCAATTCGAGGTTGAATGGGCTCTGAAAAATAGATTAAGTCAACACGGACCAGGTGTACAGACGCACATACATACTCCGGTGGAAGGATGTGGGCCAGTCACTGCAAACAGTTTCAACGAGTAAGTTATTAGACCGTTGGGAGATGGAAGGCAGGGTGGCCCAGAGAGTAGCTTGCTACAACGCCAAGGCTCACAAGAAAGATAGTGGAAAATCGAATGACAGAGTGAACACTTCTCTAGTGGTTTTTGTCACCCGGAAATCCCGGAAAAAAAATGAATGCCTGCTATGAACGCTGTCATGGCTGGAGTATATCATCAGTGTTACCCAGTGTGACCTAGTTTTCGAAGGCAGTGACTTAATCTGGCATAGCGGCGGACTGGACACACACTAGGAATAACAGACTTCAAAGTAGCCAATAGAGGAGCGAAATGTAGTTGCCCTATGAGGCGGTGTGTTTGGTGGAAACTACAGTCAGACCAAATAGGCTGGATTGGTTCGCTCGTTTTCAACTACGAACAACTGAGAATGGGCTTCGTGTGTGGGGCATTTCCGGCAGAAAAAACGCGAAGAGATGACTTTTAGCCAATTTCTTATCGACTTAGACGGATGAAATGTCGGCACACGTAGGGATAATAAAATGGACCAGCGGGAAGAGGGAAGAGCTTACCCCTCCCCGAGATCTTAAAGCTTACTAGCGCAGGAGATTACCGAGAGACATTTTCAGTAGAAACTGGGTACGTGCATGATCAGACTTAAAAATGCTCCCTCTATCAAAGCAGTTGAAACAAAAACTGATACCTATTCAACTGCCAGGTTCATGCGATTCTGCAAACCCCACCTTGTCAAAAAATGTGCAATTATCTGGGTCAGAGGATTCAACAATTTCAATCCGTTAATAGTTCACCAAGGCCCATGATGCCCTCTTGATAGTTTTTCCAAGACAAACGACGAGAAACACCACGGAAGTTATATAGAAGGAAGTAGACCTGCTGTGCGTCTACCGCAGCTAACTTTACCGCACCCACAACATTTAAATAGCAAGACTAATTGAAATGGGCGTGGGGGGCGGGGCGGCGACCGCGGCTGATGAAGCTGGAACTGCATCTACGCGCACCTCACAGGTGCAGCCACCCGAACCAGGCTTTATAGAAAGACAGGAGCTTCCGATACCACATAAGTGAGGGTGTAGCGGGCATTCAACAATTCTGTCTCCTGCGTTCTCCAATGCCGGCT